ATAGGCCAATCTTTCACCAACCACCCATAATTGGTTTTAAACTCCATTCCCTTCTCCTTGACCCAGACCTCATGTGAGGCTTTCTCCACAACTAGCTCAAATGTGTGTGTTCATGTTCTAACAATCTCATTTACACTCCCAAACTCAGAAAAAAAAAAAAACAAAGTGCGAATTTTGATTAGCAATGAAGTAAAACAATACGTCAACATTGGCTAAGTTTTTTTTTTGTGGATTGAAGCACAATTTTTATAGGTAAATGCAAGTTCATGGTTGAGGAAGAGGAAATATCAAATTCTTTGATAAAGATGGTTGCTTATATAAGCATTGGCATGTTAATTTGATAGCATAGATACTCATCGAGTAAAAAGCTCAATAGTGAAGATGAATTGGGTGTATAATTTTTTTATGTTATCGAACTTTTTTAATGAATTTCTTTCCAATTCAAGTAATCATTTAATCAAACATAATGTAATGAAGTTATAACAATAACTACATACAATGGAAACAACAAATATAATATATAAAATAATGCGCGAAAGCTAAGAACACACTTTCAAGATTTAAAATATAAACATATTAGTAATATGTGCACATGTTTACACAACAAACAATATATGATATGATATATTGAACTGAGTTATCAATTTTAAGTACAAAATGAATAATGTAATCTTCAATTACAACTACGTTAACTTATTTTTAAGTTGATTCTATAGATGTTATAACACAACGAAGTAACGACATTGAATGAATTATTAATCTATTAAGAATGTCCAAAGCATAAAAAGATAATAACACTGCACAAACTTATACGTGAAAATAATTTTTGCCAAACACCAAGATAAGAATATCCACAAAATAGATTATGTTAATACAAGTGAATCTAAATCTAAAGTACAAGCATATAACTACTAAGCATAATGAAAAATAGTTATCTTAACTCAAGAGATTTTATCACCTTAATTAACATAAAAGAACCAAGCATAATAATGGTAATATAAATTTATAAGTAAGAATATTTTATAAAGCAAGATGAATAAGATCAATATGACAATATCATGTGATTCAAGTAGGTTGTAAGCCCATAGACCAATTTTTAATGAGAATGTTTTGATGTTGATATAATAGTGCTTGAGTTTAATAAAATGGTTTCATATATTCTCTTTTATAGATAATATTATTGATAATACATTTCGTAACTTAATTTTAAATTTTATTGTATCATTTTTTATTTTTAAAATTTTATTAATGTGCACCATGTGCACTTGCAGTGCATTTATACTAGTATAAAGTTATAACACTTTTTTTTGCAAGTTAGAATTGTTCATAAGATTTGACCCATCTCTCATCATCACCACTGACAACAGATCATCTTTCTACTAACAATCATTTAGATATGCACAATAAAATGCATTTGACATGTGTAGATGTGTTATGTGAATGATAAAAAAATGATGAAACTATGTTTGATACATTTGATTATTGAGATCCTCTGGCTCTTCTTTATGGAGGACATTATTTTGTTATGAAAAATTCTCTCCTTTGAATCTAGTGGTTTTGTAATATTAAACTTTATGTAATGGAAATCTTATACTTATAAATGTTACTGTAAGCCTATAGAGCATGAACTAGGTTGGGCAAAGGAGCCAAGCTTAAAAATTAATTGTACATCAATAATTAGTTTGAGCAGTTGTTAGCAAGCATAACATTTTTATGATGGGATTTATAAACTTTTTTGACAAGCTATTAAGGTTTCGTTTGGGACGGCTTTCTTACTGCTTCTAAAAGCAACTTTTAAGTATAAAAATTTTAATTTTTATCCTGGAAAGCTGCTTTGAGAAGCAATAAAAAAGTCATCCCAAACGAAACCTAAGATGTTAAAGACTACCTATAACAACTTTCTGATCAACAACAAATACTTCATTTTCTAACCCTAACTCCATAGGCAAAACTGTGTGTGCTGAGACTAGGTAATTGCCAACTCTCAAAATTAATTTTAAAATTTAAAAGTAATGATAATCTTAGAATTTTCCCCCTCTCAACAAAATTTATTTGCCCCTCTAAAAATATCAAGTTTTGAGGAATTATCCATTATTTGGGGGAGTTAAAGATTTATCTCTTGCTGTGTTTTTATAGCTCCATGAATTTTTTTCTTGGGTGCTTATGCATTTAAGTACCAGCATAGCATTTGTTCATTAAAATTTTAATGAATTTTCATTTTTTTCTCTTATCCTACATGTTTATTATTTTGGCAATAATTTTGTGAACTACTACTATCACATCAGGGAGAGTTTTTTTGCAGTGAGAACTGTCAAGTATCAATTACATATTAGAATGAGTGATGATTATATTTGAGAAAAAAGTATTTGATTTGATTCTCAATGGAGCTGTAATTCAATATTATCAATAAATAAATAAATAAATAAATTGCAAAGCTTATAATAATTCATTAATTCATCAATCATAATAAAATACTAGATTTTATTTTAATGATATCTTCCACATTTTTTTTTCTTACCTAATTATTTATATTAGGAGTTTGCCCACCCTCAATAGAGAGGCTAGTATTACCCTTGGTTAACTCTATATTGGTTTGCAGAAGGCTAGTCGCAAACTTAACAACGATTCATAAAGAGTAACTATTGAATCATAAACTCTAATAATAAAAGTGAAGTATTTCTTGTTATTTTTATTAAATGTATTTTTTTGCAAAACAAATTCATTCCTTAATTCAAAGGATATTTTAGCATTATATAAAATAAATACGTAAACAAAATTAAATTAATTTTCATTAAATTATAATATTATTATATTTTGAGATATTTAGCTGGAGTAGCCTATAACGTGCCTTCCAACATCTTTAGCACAACTTTCTTATTGCTTTAGGAGTTTTCTAATGTACAAATTTCTAACTCAAAAAAAATTATGTACTAAAATATTACTTTATAAAATAGTAATAAAAGCGTCGCAAATAAAATCTTAGTTATGATGACTAAATATACATTCTTGCATTAAGCTTAAATAAATAATTAAACTAATTTCCAATATTTGTAATAATCAAAATTGAGTTCATCATATATGAGTTTATGAGGCCTATAATTTTTTTTAATTATTATTATGACAAACTTTGCAAAATAAATAATATGATTAACATTATCAATAACCTCATTCTTACACATTGCAAATAATATTAAAAAAAATTTTACAATATTCTTTAGATGAAATAATAATAATAATAATTCACATTATGCAAAAGTCAAATCCAATAAATTCTCATTCATTAAAATTTGTAAACGTTTCTACTAATTGGTACATGATAATTTAGTCAAATTTAAACGCTCTAAAAGGTGCAAAACTAAGCATTTCAACAGGTACAGCTTCCACATTCATTTCATTCCAAAAAATTGTCCTAAATTCATACATCTGCAATTAGTCAAAGCATAGAGAAAATATTAGGCAGACGAAGTCCGGACAAGAGTTACATTCAGATTGTGAATGTACATTATGTATAAAAATGCATTAAATATTTTTGCATACAATATGCGCATATTGTATACACTAATATGTCTGAACGTAATTCTTCGTCCGGACTCCGCACATAATAATTTCTCCAAAGCAAGACAAAATAAAATGCAAGTACTCCCATTTTGTCTCATGAGTGCTATAAAAACAAAAAAGAACTAGCACAATTCCATTAATGTAGAAGGAAAATTACTAATACAAGTAACAACTCAAGTTTTGTTTGGAATAGTTTTCTTACTGTTTTATAAAACAGCTTTTTAATATAAAAATTTTTTGGACGAAAATTTTTTGTTCTTAAAAACTGCTTTAAAAAACAATAAAAAAGTTATCCCAAACAAAATCTCAGTCAGAAAAAAAGGCCAATTGAGAGCAGAAAACTCTATGTATGCAGAGAAACATAAAGACTAACAAAGGGCATACTAGACTAGACCTGTAAACAGTTACAGGACCAACACTAATGCAGAGGTACAACACTATTGAGGTGCACTATCAATGTTGAGCGAGTCTATGAAAGTTAACTATATTGAACAATGTAAGAAGATAATTAAGAGAAAAATGAGAAAGTTCAAGATCAAGGAACTTAACAAGTTTAAAACAAACTAAAGGCTTCATTTAGGACGGTTTTATTACTGTTTTTTAAAGTAGCTTTTAATACAAAAATTAAAAATTTTGTATTAAAAAAACTATTTTAAGAAGCAAGAAAAAAGCTGTCCCAAACGAAGCCTAAATAACATGACCAAAACTTAGGTATCATTTGAAACAACTTTCTTACTGCTTTCTAAAATTATTTTCTAATACAAAATTTTTAATTCAAAAAATTTTTATACTAAAAAATAAAAAGAAAACTATTCCAAACAAAACCTTAGATTATGTAAAAGATTAAACGGACTATGAAGTTTTAAGGTTGATTCTCAAAATAGCAAGAAGAGCAGTGGCTTCTTGTGAGAAAATATGTAATAGGTGGCAAGCTGGATTGAGTTATTTATTGAATCTCCAACATTTTAAAGAACTGGGTGCTACAAAATGTACTGATTTGACTGGCAAAGGCATTTAGTGAAGGAGGAAACTCACACTAATCCAAATGAAAGGCTAATGAGTTTTTGAATGGTCCACAGGACCACAGAGCCAAACCTTCATAGTCAACATCGAAAATATTGCTGAGACCATCCCACAATTTGAAAAGTCATGAAAAAAGGCAGGAAATCTCACTATCATAAATAGGATCAATAACCAAACTATTATAGAAATATTGAAGAAATTGCCTCTAAATCAGGAGCATAAAGTCTTGAACATAAATTAATGGAGAAAAAAAGGATAAGTAGTTATAAAGAAAGGAGAAAAAATAATTAATAGACATAAACAGGGGAAAGCTAATAAAATACAATAAGAGATCCTTATTTTTTTCTTAGCTACACTAAGGGGAAGCTCATAATATTCACTCGTTAGAAGCAATAAACATCAAACCAACTATATATAGATAGTATATAAACACAGATAAGATTTGATTAGGCCCCTTCAGGCCCATAAAACAAGTTCGACTTAAATTTTAAGCACACCCCCCCAAAAGTTCCATATAATAAATAAAGTAGCTGATCAGATAGAAGTTTTAATGAGATTGTATTCAAACCATTAGAATTCTCTATCAGGGAAGAGGATTGGTGCGACTAGAGACCAGATGAAGAGTGCTGCGGTAGCCCAACCAGTCACAATCCTTACCCACACGGACGGCCACCCGACATCGACCAACTTCCCGCTCTCGCCGACCGTGCTCGACCAGCCGGTAAGGAGCATTGCAGAATACATACTAGCCAAAGAGAAGATGAGATGGAAAAATGAATATGAGTACGAGACTGGAACGGATTCTTCCTTTTTCATGTCCTGTTCCTCGACTTTGTCGAAGGGAAGCAAAGGCTTTTCAGAACCTATCGAAAGGAACACCAAGTGTAGAGATCAGAAAATGTTGAATGAAGATGATTGCTATAGTATTCCTATATTATAAAATTCGTTGGTCTTACTAGCGCGAGGAGAAGTTGGTGGTGAGAGAAGAGTGGTGGAAGAACCAGCGCGGACGGCAGAGTACACGACGGAGAGGACGGTCGTTAGCAAGCCAATGGTAAGGCTTCCAGTGGAGACAGCTTTTGAGTGCTTGTGAAAACTATTACACTCGTAATCCCGTGGCTCACTCACAAGACCACTGTAGCAAAGATAGGTGCAGTAGAGAGAGATTACAGAAGCAGGAAGTAGGCTACCGTTAACCTGCAGGAATAAGTAGAATTATCTGCCAAGTCTCCCGTAAAAAAATAAAACTGGTATGCATGGTTTTATCAAGTGATGAAAAATCAAAATTTGATTGATAGAATTGAAGTAACATCAGGTGAAGGGTCCATTTGGGGCAGGTTCTTGACAGTTTTTTTGTCCTTAAAACTGTCACAGTTATGTTTAATTACAACTTGTTTGCCACTTTTCAAATATTTTTGTAGTGGAACAGCTCTCAATTAGATTTGCTAGTGTGTGATAATTGGAAGAAAATTGTCATCTTGTTTTCTTTTAAGGGAACCAATATTTAACACGAACAGAAATTTCAATTAACTTATTATTCTTGTAACAATTCTACAGTTTATTTCACAAAGCTGCAGCCGCCCAAACAGACCTAAAGAAAATACACAAGTAAATCAGGGTGTGGAATGCCTGCATGAATTGAATGATAAGACAAGGTACAAATATCCTAATGACTAAAAAGATCTAGATATGAAGGCAGCAGATTTGCAAGGAAGCAAAGGTAACAAAGAAGGTGCAAGATTTAATAACTTCTATAGTGAGCAAGACAACAAAATGAAAAATTAGTGAATAAAGCATTTAAGGAACAGACAAACTTTTATTATCAAAAGCTATGCTTTGTGAGACTTGAATTCTTACAAGTACATTTTCCACCATCTAATCGTAATAATGTTATTTAATAGCATAGGCAAGGGAGGTTGGGAAAAACCAAAAGATTAAAAAGCTAGTTGAAATCTGCAGTAAGCATCAACATAATGGGGACATGGGGATACAATATTATACATTCCCAGCACCTCTCCACTCTTTCCAAAAGTATATTAGATATACAAAACATACATTACTTGATGCAATAAAAAAGATCACAAAATTTCATACAAATTGGGACATCCTTCCAAAATACCACACTTTGACAAAATACAACAATTAAACGTAACATAACTTAACTTTTATAATAGAAAGACGACACATACAAACTAAGAACATAGAAACACCTAAAAATGCTTTTACATCGCTTCAGAAGAAAGATACAAGTGGCATGGAACTTGCGAAGAGAAGAAAGAGATAAGAAGCCCAAGACGAAATCGAAGAGAGGACAAGCTCGCAAGTTTTCCCGAGAAGAAGAGAAAAGGAACTAGCTCGCAAGCTTTTCCAAGAAGAAATCCGCAGGTTTTGCTGTCCAAAAACCAGTCTGTAATCTCATTTTATCAACAAAACAACTCATATTTATAGTTGAAAAGAGGCAGCCAAATAGCTCAAAATACTTCCAGTCGGACCAATTAGAACAGGAAACAGAAGGCCAAAAGGCTGTCAAGGAGTAGCACCTGAAGGGCCACAAGGGGGACAGGAATGGCACCCACAGAGAACCAGAACAGGAAGCCGAGGGGGGGAGGGGGAACCAGACAGAGGAACCGAAAGGCCAGCAAAGAGGAGGAGGAGGGGGGGGGGGGAGACGGAAGAACCAAGACACCACAATAATGAGCTGAAAAAGACATTCCACTAAACATTAATGAGTTGAATTTAAAAGAGGATATAGCAGCTCATCTAAGCATCAACATAATGGCGACATGGGTATACAATATTATACATTCCCAGCACCTCTCCACTCTTTCCAAAAGTATATTAGATATACAAAACATACATTACTTGATGCAATAAAAAAGATCACAAAATTTCATACAAATTGGGACATCCTTCCAAAATACCACACTTCGAAAAAATACAACAATTAAACGTAACATAACTTAACTTTTATAATAGAAAGAGGACACATACAAACTTAGAACATAGAAACACCTAAAAATGCTTTTACATCGCTTCAGAAGAAAGATACAAGTGGCTCTACCCCTACCTTTCTTAATATAAGTCAAATCTAATACCTCTACTCTCTTAACTGGGTCGTCGGAAGGCCGCCTTTTTATGTGACCAAACCATCTAAGGCGACTCTCTCTAATCTTATCTTCTACTGGAGCTACTCCAACCTTTTCACGTATATGCTCATTTCGTATCCTATCTCTAAGGGTAAAGCCACTCATCCATCTAAGCATCCTCATCTCTGCCACACTTAAGTGCAATTCCAAATTGAATAAAAAAAAAGTTCAATTTCCTATGAGGAAAATTGAAAAATTACAAAATATAACAATCAGCAGCCCACAAAATTTTACCATGCCACTGCCTACTTAGATCAAGCAGTAACATAAAAATGCAAAATATAGACCACTTTGGGTAAAAAAAATAGCCTCTGCATCAAATTTTGAGTTCTTATCAGGCTATTAATATGGAATGAATCCACTTTAAACTTTCATTATCCAACCCTGTACATATACATTTTAAAACAAATACAGCATTAATTAGGCTGAAAAGTATCATGGTCATCATAATCATCATCATTATCATTATAATAATTATTACGGATAATTTTACAAATCCTAAACTCTATACTTGTTGGTTGTTATTTTGAGTGTTAAATCTAGTTTGATCATATCATTTTTACACAACCTTTGTCCATGCTAACTATAATCGATCTCTTTTCCTTTCAAATATTTTTCTATTTAAATTAATTTAAAATTTTTATTAGTGCATCTTTTACCCACCATTATAAGTCAAAACACCCAAGTCTATTCTTCAAGATCTTTCTCATTAATAAATGCTACTCCCATGACGATCTAGGAGGCTCTAGGATCAAAATTTCACAATGCAGAGCCAAAAAAACACGAACTATCTCTAAAACACTACAAAACAAGCTTTGATGCCTTTCAGAAAAATGTAGAAAATTTCTTCCGAATAACCTTCCAAAAGTAATGATAAAGATGTCTAGAAAGTTCAAAACCTCACATTCAAATATAGGAGAAAGAAAGTTTATTACATGTTTAAATTCATCAATAGAATTTCAAGGACTCCAGCCACATAAAGAGGAAGAAAATGATGATTTAAACCCCAATGAAGATATTCAAAGAAATATTCAAGGGCCATTTCTCAATTCACTACATAAAAAGAGGCTTGGATCGTAAAGTATGTAGGCACGTAACCATTTCTAATTTCCACAAAAATTAGCTACTTTTTTTCTTATTTTCTTATAAAATAAATTGTACAGGTTATAAGGTAAGGGATTGTTTCATCTACTAAATTATGTAGTATGGTGATTCAGAACTAATCCTTATCATTTAGCATTATCATGTGTTTTAGGCTATCACTGTAAATAATATCATTTATTAGGTCTTTTTCATAAAAATTAAAAATACAAGTCATCTTGATTTCAAGAACCTCTTGCTCTCCTAGCTAGTCACAGGGCTTTCTCCTATAGCCTTGCTAATCTCAACCCTCTCAATTTCTCTTAAATACTAAAGCCTTCTACGAACTTTCTCTCAACCTTCGACTCTTTTTCTCTGGCTTCCTCTATCTACGTGAGGATATATGGAGTACATAAGCAAAAAAGCTATCAAGATAGAAGGTTACAAATAATAAAAGAAGAGGCAAAAAGCAAGAAAGAAAATTTACTATAAGGGATTACCCATCATCAAGTTCTCGAGTATTAAATAAACCATAATCTTTCTCTAGTTAATATGCTAATTGTGTTTGCTATTTCAAGTCAAAGTTCTCTATGCTGATCTTAGGTTGGCCGATTTTTGTGAGTTTCTTTGGTAAACATGTAAACTCTACTTTGCTAAATACTAAGGAGTAAGAAACAAACTCATTATTCCCATCTTAGATTGAATAATGTCTTTGGGTAGTTTATATTGTAGTCATCTCATGACTACAACATAGCATATTGCATGCATCCTAAACTACATAAATCATATAACCCAAGAACTCCCATTATGATCATGTCCATTGAGAAGACTAGGCCTCCCTTGGTTGATCTGAATCACATAGTACTTCTCATGTGATCATTTCTCAATCTATAATTTACCCTTAGTTTTCCCACACAAACATCTTCACAAATTCAATTCTGCCATTCTCAATTTGGCAATAGAAAATTCCTTTATCATCTAACATTCTAATCCATAACATATAAAAGATCCAAAATACCTCGTTATTAAAACTAGTGATCATATTTATTCTATATAAAAGAAAATTTGTAGCAGTAGGAAATATAGATAAATTTACCGAAGGGAGAAAAAAGGTTGAGAAAAATGAGACCAAAAAACAGAAAAAGTTGGCATGAAAAAGGAGAAAAAAGAAATAATAAAACTAGTCATATAAGCCCAGCCCAAAAAATAAAAATTACCTTTGGATGCAGTGCAACCACTGCAAAAACAAAAACAAGGACCAATGTTAAAACAATAAGGAAGGAGTTGAGCCCACAATCATGGCCCGAAGGAGTGAACCAGTGAAACAAGAACCCTGAGAAGGTAAATGTGGCCACATAACAAACTAGTGATACAACAAGCAATGCCATGTACCTGTAGTATGAAGTAAAACAAACTCTTTAGATCCAATGATAACGTTAAATAGCACAGTAAATATCAAATGCACCATCACATGCATGAAGTCAAGAAAACTTCAATACTTACCAGAATTGTTCATCTTTGCTAACCCAACTATCATTCCATCCATGTACAAAATCTAACAAGAGAACAACTTGAACTAGAAGAAAGAACCCTGACCCGAATTTAGATATTGACTCTGCAAGGGAAAAAAAAGCATTCTTACAGACAAGCATACCACCTATGTAACGCAAAAAGAATATGCAAACATAAATAAATTTAATGTAACTTAATCAGCTACAGTGAAAAAGGAATATTGCTTCCCTAGCAATGGAATGTCACTATCACAATTAAGAACAATCTCAATCGTAGCACAAAGGAGTAATCTGCAGAGAATGCAACACTGCAAAACTGCCTTGATAAGACAGTTTGCTAAATTCATCTAAAAAATGGGTGCAAAAGTAGTCTAGTTTTCCAAAAAAAAAATGATGAAGTGCCGAGCAGTCTGCCTATTAAAGCGAATCAATAAAAGGTCATTATAATCTCTTTCATTCAATAAAATATGAAACCTCATCCTCATTCATCTTTAAATAGTCAAAGTTCGGTCATAAGTTGCAACACTAGATTCCTTCACTTTTTTCCTTTGTGTCACACCTCATCCATGGATCCAACAAACTATTTTGGTCAGTGCATTCACCAAAAATGCTTTAAACTAAATCATAATTCATGATAAGATATATGCTATCAGATAATAAATGGGACTAAGACTAAGCTTATCATTTTTCAATGCTTATAATACCTTATTCCAGCTATTGGTCGTACAATTTACTAGAGCAGTAGAGCCAATGCAGACGTAAATATGACACATAAAGTAAAAAAGGTCTTGTTAAGGAACTGCCCGATAGTTTTTGTTTAGTACCAAGAGTTAGTGGATACAAAAAAACCTTCAACGTCTCTATTTTTTAGGATTATGAAAAGAGAAGAATACATCTCTGAGTGTTTATGGCAAAGATGACCTATAAGCTTATTTACGAGATCTTCTAAGATTGTTAAATCAACCACACAGTTTAAACTTTTGAATGCACCATTTTGTGTTTTCTTGTCAAAATGCATGTTTTATAGTGCTAATTTGCTTTTAAATGTGCCAAGTAACACAAAATTGTGACTATATATACCATTCACAACCAAGAGATTTGAAACAAACCATAATTTGTGGTGAAAAATTATCAAAGTAGCATACCAAACCATCATTTTGAAGCAAACAAATTCTACAAACAATAATATGTAGAACAGCTCGGACACCTATACTCATAAATGAATGCAATATATAACATGATTCTTGAATTCAATGATCCATATTCAATCCAGCAAAGCAATTTTCACTTCTAAATCGTTTGAAACATAACTTGTAAGATATATGAGATCAATTTAAAGATCTAAAAAAAAAAAAAAAAACTCACTAAAAAAATTCACTTCCCATTACATCTAGAGAAACATACAACAACAACAACAACAACAACATCAAGCCATTATCCCACTATGTGGGGTCGGCTACATAAATTTTTCTCCATTGTGACCGGTTAAAAGTCAAATTCTCATCTAAATCTAAAAAAGAAAGGTCATTACCAATATTTCCTAACCAAGTATTTTTTAGGTCGACCTCTACCTTTCCTAACATAAGTCAAATTTAATAAATCTACTTTCCTAACTGGGTCATCAGAAGGGCGCCATTTTATGTGACCAAACCATCTAAGGTGACTCTCTCTAATCTTATCTTTCACTGGAGCTACTCCAACCTTTTCACGAGTATATTCATTTCATATCCTATCTTTAAAAGTAAAGCCACTCATCCACCAGAGCATCCTCATCTCTGCAACATTTAACTTAATATTATACTTCTCTTTTAATGACCAACATTCAGTGCCATAAAGCAATGCACGTCTCACTAACATCTTATAGAATTTTCCTTAAGTTTGAGAGGGACTTTTTTATCACACAACAAGCCCGATGCATTCCTCCACTTCAACCATCCAACTTGACTTTTGCTAATAATATCCCCATCTATTTCACCATCACTTTGAACAATAGAACCAAGATATCTAAAAAGAGTGCTCTTATTAATGACTTGATCGCCCAAAGTCACAATCCCCCCACTAGATCTATTATTATTAAAATTACACTCCATATATTCAATTTTAGATCTACTCAAACAAAAGCCTTTAGACTCTAAGGTTCACCTCCATAATTCAAGTTTACCGTGAACTCCCCCTCTAGTCTTATCAACAAGAAGAATATCATCAGGGAAAAACATGCACCAAGGTACAACCTCTTGCAAATGTCTAGTTAGAACATTCATGACTAAAGAAAAAAGATATGGGCTTAAGGTTGATCCTTGATGTATCCATCTGAAATAAAAAAATACTTGGTCAAACTATCTTGCGTTTGAACACAACACTGCCATTACCAGGTCCCAAGTCTTTGATGAGAAAAGTGGAGGGTTGTGTTAGGTAGTCGACAGCTAGCGTAAAACTTGCCGAATAATCATGACATGAATCCTTTAATACATCTAGAGAAATATGGAGACTAGACTTTTTTTTTTAAATAAAAACAACAAACAAAGAATGGGGATTTTTAAAATACCGTAGTTCATCGAATATCATAATTACATCTATAAGGTTAAATGAATTGGTATGCACAACAAAAGAAGGCACTCCAATTACTTGTTATTCTCCCACTCCAAGCTTGCTAACTGTACCTAATTAATACAGCTGAAATGTAGTGTATGATATTCTTGAATGTTCAGGCCTAAGAATAACAAGATTTTCAGATCATGCATCCTACATGCTTTTATCTCATAAAATTTACAAACTACAAAAAAGTGCCTAAGATTAGGAAGTTTCAATATAAATAGAGGTGAATCACAGAAATGGTCAATTAGATAATTAATGATGACAAGATCTTTTACTTGGCAAAAGATTTCAATCTATCCCTTAAATACTTACAAATGTTTCTGCCTTACGACACCATACTTATCTCCCTTTGTCCAAATGTAATAAATTTCATCTATTAGTTAATAAATTAATATAAATCATCCTTTTAATTTAAATTAGATTTACAATTAATTAAAATACAAGTTACTTTATTACCAAACTGCACATCATATTCATTAGCATTCTAGGTCCAATGTCTTTGGAATGAATACTAAATCATAAATGACTATATTACTTAACTATCTCAGTCCCACAGCCTATTACTTCCATTCTAAATTGAGAACAACAAAAAAAAATCATCTTCTGAAATTTTTTCAATAAAAAATTAAAATAAAATATCATTATCAACATAAAAATCCATGTCGAACTACAAACCACATCTATACCGTTTAGATCATTCTGCATCTAAATGTATCCAAGCCTACCTAGAAATAAATTTATGCAAGAAAGAAATTGTTAAGGAAAGAATGTGATTCAAGTAATATTTCCAAGAACCGGTTTATGGCAAGCCTAATCTGATTGTATGTTAAACACTGTGTTGCCAGGTTCTATCACACCAGTCATAGCAGTCATACCAGTGAAATCACAGTAAAGGGGACCTAATGCATTTTCAACTAAATCAAAAGTAGAGTAATTTTATTACAAATGTATTCCTTTAATAAAAAAAAAAATAAGACAGGTACCTAAAAACTGGAAAAAATCAGTGCAACAATCTAATTAGCAAATGAAAAGAATTTCCCATTACACAAATGTAAGAGATAAAAATAAATTGAGGAAAAAAAAACAGATCACAAACTAGAAATATCCTAAGTCAAAATGAACATATAAGCCAAAGACAAGTACTCACCATAGAAACTAACGACCCCATTGGGCACGAAGAACATGAGGAATACAATAACACACCAACAGAAAATCTTAGCCATCCACCCGCCATGGTGCAGACGATCGCGCGGGTCCTTCTGGTTCTTAATCCCCATCATTAAAACAGCCAGAATTGTGAAGAAAAGGAAGTTCCCCAGGCTCACCCTCAGAACCGCATCTGTCTCAAACCACTCCCTATCCGGCGTCTTGTGAAAGTGATTAATCCCTTCAAAGGATCCCCAGATCAAAAAATTAGAATCTATAAACTAATAGGAGTCAAAAGAGTGAAAGGAGCAGAGATATACATGGAAGGCTCTCCAATAGGGGGGCAGCAATCTCCCGGAGGATCCACGAGACGATGAGTGAGAGGCCGAAGAGGCCGCAGTAGGCGATCCGAGCTGAACGGCGGCCGATGCTCCCGACCGCTGACCGGCACGCCTCGCAGGCGCACGCCGCGCAACAAGAGGCGAGGCATGAAGCTGCCCACATCTTCGAACGACTACGGTAATGGAAATTCTCCGGCAATAACGCTTTGGAACCCTAACCCCTTGCAGCGGATCGAAGGAAAAAAAAAATCGCTTTGCCCTCACGACGACGACGACTGTGCAGAGTCCGGACGCCAATAAAATCGTGGATTGCTTTATAATTTTTTTTTTTTTAATGTTTTATTATTTTTTATTTTTTTCTATCCTGTAGTTTAGGGGCGTCAATTTGGGTTCATGAGTCAGGTTCGGGTCGAACCCCACTTGATCTTGACTAAAACGGGTCGACCCGAACCATACCTACTTAGCTAAATGGGTTCAGAATCAGAACCCGAACCCAACTCGGGCTGAACCCGCCCCAGGTCTACCCGACCCGCCAACCTCCCAGAATTTTTTTTTTTTCAAATTTTTTTTCTTTTTTACTTAAGCAAATTATTGAATATAAGAGAAACAATAAAATTTAAAATGTATTCACAATTTATTACAAATTACAACAATACAACTTACAAATTTCAAGTTAAAAAATATATTACAATTAACAATTTACAAATAGTCAAATACAAGTATACAACTTAACTAAATAGAGAGATCGAGGAGACGAGGAGTGCAAACCCTAAAACAGACGAACAGCAGAAGTGTGCTGCCTCTCGCTCGAAAGTTGAAACAAAGCAAATAATATAAGTAGTCGAGGGTTAGTCGGGTCACCAGCAGGTTAGTGGGTTGACCCGAACCCGACCCAAAATTTAAACGGATCAATAAATTAAACTCGAACCCGACTCGTTTAATTCACGGGTTGACCCAAAACCTGAATTATTCGGGTCGGGTTTGGGTCGAGTTTTCGGGTTGTGTCAGAAATTGACAAGCCTATTGTAGTCTAACCCGACTTAAAAATACCATCGTCATGTCATATAGTTTAATTTAGATTTGAATTTTTTTTAAGATTTCAGGCTTAAAAGTTCTGAAATATATAAAGATTTTAGCTTAAGCATATTTTCATATAAGTTCATAAAAAAAGAATAAAGAAAATACCAATGAAGATGAAGACTGATTTAGAGAAGGAAGTTTCTTTTTTACTAGCAAATGATATTTCCACAGGACGCGAAGGCAGAAAATTGATATATAGACGCCCATAAAGCAGAACAATTGATGTTAAAAGAACTGCATCCATAGGAAAAGCTAGGTTTATGAGATGTAGATTTCTAAATTATTAGTAAAGTTCAACTCCTTCCAAGTTCTCTTTACAACATGTAGCCATTATGCACATTTTAAAAATTAATGTGTATTATTTCACATTATATGCATTTTTTAAATTAATGCACATTTGCGAACACTAAAATTAATGAAAATTTGAAATTAATATATATTTACTGCTTATTTATTGTTCTTATATACTACTTATTTACTTCTTTTTGCTGAGTATTTATTGCGTATTTATTGTTCGAGTTTTTTTTTTTTTTTGCATTTTTACTGCATGTTTACTATATTTTTGTTGCATATTTGATGTATTTTTAATTTGTATTTACTACGTATTACTAAACATTATCGACATTTTTGAAATTAATGCACATTTGTAAACGGTGAAATTATTATGAATAATTTTAAAATTAATGCCCATTTTATAAAGTTAAAACTATGCATATTGGCTTCATATTTGTTGCATATTTTTGCTATTTTGTTAATACTTTTTTGTTATGGATTTAATACATTTTACTGCTTGTTTATTGCGTATTTCTGTTTATTTACTGCATTTTTATTGAGTATTTACAATTATTTTAATTGCTTGTGTAGTGTTTTTTTTTTTTTTTTTTTACATTTTTACTATGTATTTACTATTTTTTTTTGTTGCTACATTTTGTTGTGTATTTAGTGCATATTTATTGTATATTTTTAATTTTTTGAATTATTTATTGCTAATTATCAGAAGTGTATGAAAATGATAAAGAGACATATGAGGCTTATTGTAATTATACTAATAATGTTAATTTTAGTATTTGTAAGGATCATCACAGTTATTGGCCAAATTTTAGGAAAATAAAATGAAGGACTTTGTTTATTCAAAAGCTGATTTCAAGAAGATGTATAATCTTAATTTTTAAATGAAATACTGGAAATCAGACACCAGAATTGGTTATCCATCTATGATTTGGTTTATAGTGAATGAAACAGGGTATTAAATGGTAAAAAAATTTATTGAAATCCATAATGATGATTTTTCTAGACCTGAAGACTAGCATCTTCTTAGTTCATATAGGAATGTGTGTGATGATATATCTTAAGTTATTAAATCAATAACAAAAGTCTATATAAAAACTTTTGATGCATTTTCTTACCTTGTTGATGAAGTTGGAGATGTTCAAAATATTGAATTTTCTAAGCGGGGTGTTTAACACTTCATTTAAAAAGGAAGAGCAAATATTAAATTTGAGGATACTAATACTTTGATTCATTTATTTAAATATTATCAAGTTGATGACAATATGTTCTCTTTGGATGTCCAAATTGATGAATTTGATAGATTATTAATTTTTTGGGTTGATGGGATGGGTAAAATACTAGTTATAGGCTTAATAAGTATAATTTAGTATGCGCACAATTTGTTAGGATCAATAATTATTAGCAAAATATTTTGCTTGGGATGACCTTCTTATCAGAAGAGATGATTGAATTATTTACATTATTGTTCATAACTTTGGTACGAATAATGGGTGATAAAAAATATCCAAAATAATATTTATGGATCAAGACCAGGCAATGTATAGGCTATAGAAGTTGCATTATCTCACACTCATCATAGACTATGCCAATGACATATCCATAAAAGGTTCCATCAAAAGTATATAGTAACAACAAAGTAAGATGCCTCTTCTATTATAAGTGTTTGAACAAATGTGACTCCGAGGAGTTTGAGAAAACATATGCTGAAATAATCACAAAAGAGAATCTCTACAATCATGGTTAATTGGAGGATCTTTATAGGATAAGGAATAAGTGATAAATAACATTCAATAATGATTGTTTTAACATGGACATTCTATCTACACAGCATAGTGAGTCTACTAATGTTGACCTTATTTTTTCCAGACTCGGGATCCAGGGAGTTGACTTGGTCAAACTGACCAAGTCAGGCCCCAAGACCTCTCCAAATCAATTTCTTGGGTCAAACTGAGTTTGCTGAGCCCAGGCACAAGTCTTAGGTCAACCTGGTTGACCTGGTCAACCTGGGTTGACCCAAATTGACCCAATACCCTCTCTCTTGATTTCAAATGCATTTCATGGCCTCTAAACTCAATCTCTCATCTCCCCTGGGTCAGACCAAGTCTTTTGAGCTCAGACCCATGCCCTGGGTCAACCTGGTTGACTAGGTCAACCCAGGTTGACCCATTAGACCCATTTGAGCTTAATTTAATTTCAAATCAATTCAAACTAATATATTGCTCAAAGCTACGACCCCTCTGACCTAATTGACTGGTTTGACCAAGTCAAACTTTGTCTTGGTCAAACCAAGCCATTAATAGGTCAAATTAACCCATTTTGAACCTATTAAGTGCCATTAATTACATTTAACTCCTCCCTTTAGATTTCAAATTCAAACCACGGCTTAAATAACATGGTTTCCCTCCTATTTAGCTGGAGATCTCATTCTAACCGTCCATGAGGAGTCTAGGGCATTTAAATAGTGGAATTTAGAGCTTCATGAGGGATCTTTTTCATCTTGCTCTCATCGTAGCCTCCCTAAGCCCGAAGACTTTTGTTTGAGAGGTCTTTGGACTTTTCCACACCTTCCCCAAGCAAATTTCGACACCAAGACCTTGCCGGCGGTGAGATCTCCGGTGAACTGAAGCCTCAAATCTTCCAAAGCAATTTGCGATCGATCCAGGCGTTGGGAGCCCAAGGTTTATTCTACAAATTTATTTGTGGACAAACTACAAATTCAGAGAGCCTTTAAACGGGTCAAACCGTCCATTAACTAAGGTGAAAAGCTCAACCCTAGATTAGATCACTTAGGGTTAAATAGCTTCGTGTTCAATGCATTATAGGCTGCGAGACAAGTCCCCCATTAATGCTCTTCATGTGTAGAATACGTGTTTAAAATTTCATAAAATTCCATTCAGTCGTTTGTGAGAACGAACCTATTATTCGTTAAGGGTTTCGGTCAGCCGTAGGATAATATTGGCTTTGATGAAGACCGTTGATCTTGTGATCAACGGTTATGAGCTCGCTCTACCACTCGCCCGCCCGACCGCAGAACTCCTGTGTCGAATCGAGTCCCCATGCAGCTCAATCTGGGCCGTTGAATCAGTGCAGTGGCGATCAGATGGCGTCCCCGCGCGGCTGACGTTGATAAGTAAAGGCGCGTGGGCCCTACGCGCTTTTCAATCAGCCCGTAATGATTGTGGGAAATAGTTGCACCGCCGCCGTGGTTTCGGGATCCAATCCCGGGCCGCCACGTGGTCCACCGAGCTCGCCGCCAATTTTAATATTAAATAAATAGTTTTAAAACTATTTTAAAACCTGATTTCTTTTAAAAATCGTAGTAAATTGAATATTGATCTTAAAATTACACACAACATAACAAACTACTCGTATTCTTGTCCTCTTTAATTTAAAATTATTTTTCTTCAAAAATATTAGGTATATTTTAAATTAATTGGAAATAGTAAATAAACCCTTTTTGTAATATTATTATTATCCTATTTTTAATTATAATTATTTATTATATTATTGTGTACTATTTTATTACTTTACTATTTTAACTACTATTTAAATAATTAATTATAATAATTATTTTGAATTAAAAATTTATTTATAAACTCTTTTTGAAACCTCGTTAGGGTGTCCAGTGGATCTCCCCTATATGTATATTTATTACAAAATGATTTATTTTTAATTACCTTATTTTTCAAAATCTCTATATTTATAAGTATTTTAAACTATTTTAAAATTACTTATATTTTAAACCCTAATTTCGGGAGATCCACTATGCATAAAATTTTAAACATAGATTGTGTATGTGAAGAGTAATTATGGGGGAGTGGATTAGTGAATGGTTAAGTCCCATTTATTCAGTAATCATTTCATTAAGCGCATTTACTTTCCTATTATTATACCTTGCATGCTTAGGATTCACAAGCACTTAGTTT